AGATGCACCAAGTGATATGGCTGGGTATCACAAACAGTGGCGCTCGTGCATCTACTCATTATTTTCTTAATACCAGTCTTTATGAATTCTCTGTCTTCTGCTTCCATTGGCTTTCAGCATTCCAATCTTCATCTTATCTTTTATCCAAATGTGTGGCCAAAAGAGAGTAACCAAAATCGGTGCACGAAAGTGCATGGTTATTGGTTGTTCAAACTGAAAGTGAATAAAAACGCCGTTCCTGATAAGACACCAGTTGCAGAGTTTGATCTTCAGTAGCATTCCATGAAATTTGCATTTTAAAGGTATTACACAACTATGAACAAATATTCACTTAATAATACGAAATGTATGTCAAACAATGGTACAGGGGTCTGAACAAGGGAGAAAAGGACACTGCGCGTTTTCTGACGGCTATCCCGGTTGATTTTGTGGCATTTGACCGCGATTATTTTCGGACAAAATATTACCTTACCACTCAGTGTTGCGTGGAAGACTACCAGGAAGACGTTGGTTGGCAGGGAATATGAACGCTCAGATGAGTTTTATTATTCCTACCATCCTATGCAGAACACGATAACAATCTATTTTTTTTATTACACGCCTTAGTGTGATGAACAGCAGACAGGGAAAGCTCCATATGCACGAGGACCAGTTGCTCAGTGATGGAAACCGGTAACCCAAATCCAGGGATTCAAAGTAGTGAGCCACATGAGGCACCGGTTAGGTAAGGACGACAGTAAATCTGTCTACCACCAAATAAAGAGAACAAATAAGCACATATCAGGCTATGGATTGGAACGTATTTGAGTACCTTACGACCAGAAGGAGCTTGAAATCCATGTGTCAGATGACCTCCATCGGGTAAATCCAAACCCATGATACGTCCATGTGGCCCAACCAGGGCAGTGTACACGGCGAAATTGGCCGGGGATCCACTGTACGGCTGTACATTGACACCCCATTCATCTTCGCACAGACCGAACAAACTCAGTGCACGAGATTGGCAAAGAGATTCCATGGCATCGACGATTTCATTCCCGCCATAGTACCTAGAAAAGTGAAACGGTATATTTCTTTTTCAAAATTGTGATCAGTGGTAACGAACAGGTGTTCTGTCAAGAAGCTGCAGATCAAATCATTAGACAAAAAGACTGATCTATCAACCCAGCGCGAAAGTCATTGCTTTTCTAGTCGTGGATCGTAGGTGGAATAGACCACGTGGAAATGTTCGGGTTGCAACAGACAAACACTTTATTTTAAAAACCAAGAGATAAAAAGACTGGAGGCAAGTCCTGGGAGGAGATAATGAAAGGCTTTTGTGACAAACTCAAAATGCTATCTATATAGGTGTCAAAAAACGGCAAACGAACTGCCCCCACAACTGCAGTTATTTACTACTTTGACGACCCCCGGTCTTTATTTCTTGTTGATTTCTTGCCTCAAATAGATCCACTTGTTCGATGAAAATATAATGATGGTAAAATTATTGATATATATATATATATAAGATGATGGAAAACAGAAAGAATACACTTTTTGTTCGTTTCATTGTACACAAGGTTACGGCAATGTGAATATATACGGATTGGAGGTTTAATGGTTCCGTATCCGCCTCGATCGTATCATTCCAGGTGATCAGCTGGTCATTGAGTTGACAAGGTGATCGACGGTATAGTGCAGGAGTCAGAGTTTGACTGCAGAGTTCGGTTTCAAGCCTTAGGAGCGTGTGGTTAAAACATTGAGGATGCCAGCGTCTTAACATTGGGGAGAGCATGTGGGTGTTCGTGCAGCGCAGTCGGACCTCACCATTGGAAACCCGATCTTTCAGTTGATTTTGATGTGAGACGTGAGCATTAATGGTCAAAGTCCTCTGGCTTTCTTGTACCTTGCACAAGTGCATTTTCCCTATCATACTTTACAATTCCCCTGTGATCTTGACTGACACTTAAAAAGGATTTCAGTACTCTTCACTGCGTTTCTTTAATTCATATAAACACACGCATCTCAAAACGGTATGTTCTTTATATATCCTTGAGAGAATCGTGTCTGTGACGTCCTTAACGAACACAGCCATTCACTCAATCCCCATCTATCCGTCTGCGTTTCCAAGTCACAACTAAAGTCCATTTTCGCTTCCCAGCATCCCGTATAACACATCTATTGTAATTAACCAATTTTAGTTTGAGCAAACACTTACTTTCATAAGGAGTTATTGATTGTTTTATTTCCGTTGCTCATTTGGACGAAAGGGTTAGAGGGAAGAAAATTGGAAGGTCGATACTAGTGGCAAAGAGAAAATGGGGAATTCCAGAGACTAAGGTTGCAAAGCAAATGTAATGTACAAGCGCCACCGGTTACGACACTCAGACATGTCATTTTGGTGTCTCTAACCATTGATTGCAAACATCCCAAGGTCCCCATCTAGGAAGCCAACGCGAATAAGTTCACCTAATCAGGATTTACGCAATTTCATGCCAGGTTTTAGTTTGATCACTACTTTTTCCACTCGTCACCTACCTCGGCAAATATCGCTCGCCATGGAAACCTATTTGGTGACATGCGTAACAGTGTAATCCATGCAAGTCCACCACTTACGCCAGTGGGTGACGGCGGTTGCCAAAACCTCTGAGCTTAATCTTGGCTCGTATACTAACTGACAAGAATGTCCTACATTAGTCCACTCGAAATCTACGAAGATTATCGTTTTTCTATTCAAGTTTGATTATTCTTGCATAAGACCTCATCATACTGTGGCAGAAAACATATTTTTTACCAATATGTCAGCACAAATGTTTGCCTCTGAAAGTCTCAATATGATCGAGGGTGCGTGTCTCCCGAATCGCTCTTATATAACCAATCATCTCAAGTAGCCTCTGTTGAGGATGTCCCACTTATTGCCTTTCCGTGTCACAAGTGTTTTCCCCTCCAAAATGAGAAGACGAAAAGCCAACATCTGGGGCTATAACCAGATCGATGAACCACTGGTAGTTCACCTAGGGGATTTGTTCAAAAAACACCGATTCCAAAACCAACCACGAAGAGGAACGCGAACCACACCCACCCACAACTTAGTTGTGGTAGCGTTCACCGGCTCGATTGGGCACCTCGTACGTGTGACACTATCCAAGGGGCGTATGATCTGATGAACTGGACACCAGCCCCAATTGATTGCAGCTCCTACATACCGCTTCGCTGTCTTGTGACTCAGGTTTTGAGTAGCCGAAAGCTCCACTCGTGAATTCTCCAAGCAAATTCACTTTCCTTGGCCTTGGCAACCTGGTAGTATTCCGTACACTTGAAAATTATGGAATTTTTCTCTTCATAAAGATTATTGTTTGGCACAAAGTTTGACCTGAGGCGTGACATCAGTTCAGTTCAGTTCTTAAAACCATTAACCATGCACTATCGTGCGCCGGTTTTGTTTGCCCATTTGGATAAAACAGCAGAATGAAAATTAGATTATTGAGAGCAAATTCAAGCGAAAGAGAGCGCAGTTACAATGATAGTGACTAGATGCATGAGCACCACTGTTTGCGATACCTAGCCATATCTCTCAATGTCTTAAACTATCGGTGACCATCACCTCGGGGTCCCCAGTCAGGGAGCCTAACGGCAACTATGTGAGCGCCTCCTGGTTAGGGTTTTCGTACTCTCATGCCAGGTCTTAGTTTGACCACCCTTGATTTTTTTCCAACCGCTATCTGCCTCGGTAGACATCGTTCGCCGTGAAACCTATCTGGTGACGTGCGTAGCACATGTCCCAACCAAAGTAATCTATGGATGTCGATCACTTATTCCAGTGGACGACCGCGACTGCCTAAAACTCTACGCCTAACCTCAGCATTGCTAGTCCAGTGTCCCCACCAGACTCGTGCAATGCTACGTAGACAGCGGTGTTTGAACATCGACAATCTATTTTTTATCCTGTTCCCGTAATGGTCAAGTCTTTGCACCGTAAACCATAACTGGCCGAACTGCTGCAGCATATTTTCGACCCTTCACAAACAGCCGGATGTCGTGACGGTGCCACAGATGTCTCAAGTTGGCAAATGCCAACCGAGCCTTCTGTATGCGCGCCGATACTTC